CGTACTACAGACTTATGGTGGATGCACTGTATAAAGAACAAAAAGAAAATCAATTTTCCACATATTGTCTTTAGCGCGCTTGTCGATATCATAAACATCATTCCCTCAAAGCATGTAGAAACTCTACCTTATGGTTGTCTACTAAGCAATTTGTTTATCAAACTCGGCCTAGATGTATCCCTTGACAATCCTATTCCGCTCCAAAACCCAATCAATATCACATCCTTAAAGAAATCGGATTGTAAATTGGATGAGAACACCGGACTATTGTCTTTTCGACCCGGTAAGCAAACCCCGGGAGCTAGTTCTTCACGAGTTGCTCCTAGTTCTTCTCGTGCTCCTCCTCCTCCTCCAGCTCTTGACGCTGATAATGATCCAGAGCTTCAAAGGCTTATGAGAGATATTGACGAGGAAGTACCAGCTCGGCAAGATGATCAAACGCCACCTTATTTCCAATCTTTTCTAGAGTCGTTTGATCTGCGTTTTGCTTCCATGGAGTCAACGATTACTGAGTTTCAGAGGGAGATACGTGATCGTATGGATGCTCTTACTCTTGAAGTTAGAGCTCATTATCCTCCTCCTCCTCCCGATTCCGCTATGGATGATTAAACGTTATTTGATGATATTTGGTTTTAAACTTTAAGAACTTGGATTGTTAAACTTTTTGATTTGAATGTTTATGTTTGTTTGGATGTTTGGATGCTTGAATGTTTGAACTTAATTTTAATATATTTGGTTTGAATTTTATTCATTTTGCATCATTAGATATATGACCAATTATGCCATTTCACATTTTATTATGAATATTGTTTATGAAAACTAATGGCTAATCTCTCTTTTGATTGTGATCTTAGCAGCTTATTATTAATAAATCAATTGGCTAATGTTTTTCAAAATTCTTGTTTAAAACGTTTATATAGAGTCTTTTTGATTTAACAAAAAGGGGGAGAAAATTTAAGATGTGCTATAGTAAGGGGGAGTAAGTTTTTCAAAATCGATTTCAAAAATAATTTCTTAAACAAATCTTAAAATTATTCAAATGTTTTGTTATATCAAAAAGGGGGAGATTGTTGAAAACATTTTTGATATTTTGATATAACAAATTAAGTTAAATGAATTTTAAGATTTCACAAATGATTTTACAAATTCGATTCAATTAACCGAATATCAAATTATTACTCCAAGTTTTTCAAGATCATTTCTAATCCTTACTAAATGTGTAAAATTGTGATTGGTACTTAAACTATTTTTGAAACAATTTTCACAAAGTATTTTGAACCAAAAACAAGCCTTAAATCAATTATTCAAAGGTATGCACCGATGCATCAGTCCATGCATCGATGCATCGATGAATTAATTGAACATCGAATGCATTCCATGCACCGATGCACTCTCCATGCATCGATGCACTCTGAATATTTTCAAAACATCGAATGCATTTGATGCATCGATGCACAAGCCATGCATCGATGCATCAGGCTATTTCTCAAACATCGAATGCATTTCATGCATCGATGCACACTTGGTGCACCGATGCATCAAGTGTTCCAACGGTCAAAATATTTGAATTTTACACGAATGCACCGATGCATACTTGATCATGCATCGATGCATTAGACGCTCCACCTAGAAAAATTAATTGTTTTCACACTTAAACGGCTCTATTATCCCCACTAATTATCACCAACGTTCAGGATTGATTCAAGGGGTATTTAAACAAGTTCTGGAGCCATTGATCAACAACAAGAAACATCAATCAACTAGAATCAAGAGAGAATCAAAGAAAAAGCATCAAACCTCAAGTTTGAGTATTTCAAGCCTATTTTTCATCCAATATTCATTTGCTTTCAAGAACACTTTTGTACTCAATTGTATTTATCCTTGAGTGTTCTTTTCTTTGTTCTAGAATTGTGCAAACATCTTACCTTGTGAGGTTTTCTTGTAAGTTTGCAAATTTGTAATCTTCTCTTTGGGAAAAAGAGTGTTCTCAAGAGTTGGGGTATACTCTTGAGGGATTTTGTAAGGTTATCTCTTTGGCCTCAAAAGAAAGAACAAATTAGTGAATTTGTTGGAAAATCCTTAGTGTGGATAGCTAAGGTAGTGGACGTAGACTTTGTTTGAGAAAGTCGAACCACTGTAAATCGCTGTGCAATTACTTTAAATTTTCTGCAAAAGCTTCCACTAAATTTTTAATTGCCAATTCACCCCCCTCTTGGCCGATTCCGTAGATCGATTAACTCAACAACTTAAAATAATCACCATACATTGTGGGCTAAAGATGCTTAATGAGTTGAGCAGCTTGAACTCGACTCAGTCAAAACTCGATAAAAGCTCGACTCGAGTTGACTCGGCTCGAATTTGAACTCGACTCGAGACCTTAACAAGTTGAGTCGAGCAAACTCCAACTCGACTCAATAAATTTGCGAGCAATTCATTAATTTTTTTATACTTTTTTAGTAGTTTGTCTTAAAAAATCATTTCATTAAAAAAATACTAATTTACTAATAGATAATAAAAAGATGATAAATAACTAATCTATTAATTTTCTAATAAATAAAAAATACTAACTTATTAATTAATAATTATTATTTTACTACATGATCACGTGTAAATATATAATGTTGTGACATGCAAACCTGTGCAAGTATACACAATCGATGCAAGTAATATAGTAGTGAGTGAGTATCGTCTCCACAACGATTGGAGGGCTTTTAAAGGTTTGTTACAACTAGGAATAGGTGTTAGTAACTAATCCTAAGTATCTAAGTCTAATTATATAAAAAGGAAAATATGTAGTGAAAAATGGTATGAACAGATAGAAAAAAGTTTGTCGAGGCAAGAAAAGTGTGAAGTGAAATAAGCAGATAAATTTTGTCGCGGCAATAAAAAATATGAAATAGTAAACAAACAAAAGTCGCTAAGGCTAAAATTGTCAAAACTCTATAAATAGATTGGAAACCTCACATAATCAGACTTCTAACGGAGCACTTGGGTTGGATTTGCTATGGTGAGAAATTATTTTATGGCTAGAATGATCTAAATACACTATACCTATGTTGCCCGACATGATTTACTAAAGTGTTCCAAGAGTATCTCTAACATAGAACCTGATAAAATATTGCTACAACAATACTACTCAACGTGAACTGCATCCCTTGGTTTGTCAAACTATTGATGCGGCAATACCCCTCAGCGTAAACTGCAGCGCTAGCCTATCTACTCAAGCATTTATCCTTATTAGTCGAATGAAATCCTCTCCTTATCTCTAAGGCAGATTAGAACCTCACCATCTCGGGTTAGTTCCCTTTTTCACGTAGATCTAACCTAACTTTCTCGATATTAGGTATCAACTCCTAGAAAAACGATAATCTTTCAAAAACTTTTACAAAGACTAGGAATATTTTGCTAAGGCACCAAACAATCTTTCAAAAGCTCTTACAGTGCTAAGGCAAAAGATTAAAATAGTGAACAAAACAACATTTAATAAAAACATACTTAATCATCTATTAATCGTAAAATAAAATATCATCCAAGCATTTACAACACCAAATAAAACAATTTATGGTGTGGCTAACATCATCCCAAAAAATATTCGTTAAGTACAAGCCCTTAAAAAAAGAAATAAGAAATAAAGAACAAGGGGAATAAAAACTCCCAAAACATAGCTCTGTTGTGACGTCAGACCACCACCAAGACTTCTCTAGCGCGCTAGCCTCTCTCGAGGACCTAGCCGCTTCTCCGGCGAAGCCTGGCTATAAAGGGCACCAAGGACAGACGAGAGGGGGAACGGTGGAAAAGAGGACATCGCGGTCGCCTTTATCCAAGCTTTTTGGGTAGGTGGTAGAGAGTGTCTCAAATGGTGTGCATCATGTCCTATTATAGTGGGGAATTTTTAGGGTTTAGTTCCCTTGAAATTCCCCAAATTGCCCTTGAATTCATGAAAACAAGACAGCTAGTAGTGGTCCCAAATTAGCAGTAGGGGTAGGAGTTCACATGAGGTGCATTGGATAGCTGGCTACATGACGTTAGAAATTTTGTCTTGTACTGCGTCAAGCTCGCAAGATAAAAATTGTCGCGACAATAGTTATTCCTCACAATCATTGTCTTCAGTTCCTTTGGCCCTGACACAGAATTTGTCTCTGCAAATAAATTATTCCTTGGTCGTTTCCTATCACCTGCATAATCACAACCAACACACAACCCCTCTTATCAACAACATCAGTTTAATCAAATAAATTTTGCCTAGGCAAAACTTATCCACACATGCAAAAATGTCCTAAATGCAACTAAAATGTTATATCAATGGCTTTTAGACAATTAATAACTTGAGTAAAAAGACCTAAAATATAGTATTTTTACGGAGTTATCATTACACCCAAAAATCAAACCTTAATTATTATTTTGGAGTTTAAACTTTCAATTTGTTGTATACACTCTTTTGATATTTTTTGGTTAAAAATTTATTAATTTATAGTTATATTAAGTTCTATATAATATTAGTAGATTATACCTATAGTTAAAAAATAAGATAAAAAATTCAGTGAGCTTAACGAGCAACGATGCGAGTCTAACAACGAGTCAAGCAACAAGTTTTTTTAACGAGCATGAGTCGAGTAAGATTTTAACGAGCTTAACAAACAACGAGTCGAGTCAAGCAACAAAAGTTTTTAATGAGCACGAGTCGAGCACTGTCCAACTCGCAATTGACTCGCTCGATAAAAACTCATATCATCGACCACCATCGACCTACGAAATAATAATAAAATTATTTTTATATTAAATAATAATAATAATACCACATAATACAAAATTAATAATGAAATAATTCAAAGTGATAAAAAATGAGCAATTTGAAAGTTCAATGAGTAAATTAGAAAACTTTAAAGTATTATGAGTAAAATGGGAGAAGAAGTAAAGTTTAGTAAAAATGATGTATTTTACCCTAAAGAAAATTATTTTTAAAAGAAAAGCATAAAAGATGTGTATATCGGCCCATGCCAACGTATTTCCCTCCATTTTCTCCCGCCACTTACACAACAGTAAATATATACTACCAGATGAAAACCTAAACATCTGAGAGAAGATCCAGATGGAGAATGCGAATTCAGCTCCGACAGGTTGCTACAAATGCGGAAGAACCGGCCACTGGTCTCATGACTGCCCCGACGCTCCCAAATCGGACCCTCCCAATCCCAGAAGAGTCGGCTCCGACAATCCAAATTCCACCGGAAAGGGCTGCTACAAGTGCGGAAGACCCGGTCACTGGGCACGTGACTGCCCCGATCTCGCTAAATCCGATCAACCCAATCCCAATGCTTCCTCCTCCGGCACCGAATTTACTTCGAATCCGCTTCCCAGACCCGAAAAGCCCAAGAAAGTAGCCAAAAGCAGAACCCGACCCAAGCTCACACCCGAACTTCTCCTCTCCGATGATGGTCTCGGTTACGTCCTTCGCCACTTCCCTCGGGCTTTTAGGTACCGTGGTCGCGGTCACGAGGTAGAATACTAGATTAATGTTATTTCTATTTAAATTGGAATGATTTTTCTTTGTTTTACCAATTTTGGGGGGTATTTGATTAAGCTTTTATTTTGTTTTTAGGTCAGTGATTTGGGAAAGTTAATTGAGTTGTACAGAGAATGGCACAAGCATTTGATCCCATATTACTCTTTCGATCAGTTTGTACATAAAGTCGATAAAGTTGCTTCTTCCAAACGAGTTAAGGTAAATCATTCAACTTTTGATTGTAGTGTTTAATGACTTGTTATTGAAATTAGGGTACTTAATTTTTTGTTTCAAGGGATTAAAATGCCAGACTTTATGGGTTATTGAGATATTGCCAATTGAGAGTTCTCCTAAGCTACAGGCAGACTTAGATGAACTGTTATGTGTTGGAATTTGCTGCAAGATCTGCTTACCTTTGATAGCTGAGTTTTCTGAGCATATATACACATACTTCATTTGCTGCATATCTTTTGGGCAGAATTGTATTAAAGACTTAAGAGAGCGAGTTGCTAGAGGAGGGGATCCTACAAAATTTCATGAAAGTCCAGATGAGTTTAACCCTCCCACTGATGAGCAAGGTATGCTAGCAATAGTACTATTCATTTGTTTTTAACACATTCTATTTCCATGTCGCCTATTTCAAAACATTACTTTGTTTCATTGTTCGAGGCATAAATAGTATATTGTGCTTAAAGGGAACAAACTCTACATCCACTTTTAATTGTAGTGGCCGGACGGACTGGGGCACAAACTCATGACCACCATGAAGGAGATCATGTTGATGAGATTCAAGAAAGTATGCTTAATGAGATTTACCAGAAGGTTTCTGAGGTAACCATTGGTTTTAGATTTGGTTCTTGTTATAGTTGTGCAGTCACTTCTCAAGTCCATAGCTGGTAGTGTTGAGTTCTTTATTGAAGAGTTATAAAAAAAGGAAGATTGTTATTATGTTCCCTAGATATCAAAAGCAAAATACTAATAAAGCAATAATTGATAGTATGCTTCCTATGGCTTTGCTGCGTGTGTGCTTAGGTTGCTGATTTGAGATTTGTGTTTTCCAAATCTGTTAATTGTCGAATTTGCATACCCGTATAACAATGCAATTTTTACATTAAATGGAAGAATTGGTGTTTCAGCTATGAGGAAGCATTTATATTCGTATATGTTGAAAATATACATCATTGTGCCTAATACTGGACCTGGCTGCTAGTAGAAATGTTGAGTTCTGCCGAATTCATTTATTTTGAGATCCTTGTTTAATAATGATATGTTATGGACTGTTACCGTCTTTTTTTTTTAATTCTGGGTGTGATGCTAATGTTAAACGGTGCTATATTCTTGTCATTGGCCACAGGAACCATCTCATGTCATACACACACCTACGGTTGCTGCTGAAGCACTTGCAGCTGGTGACTCCGAGGCACATGAGCAAATGCTGAATACCGAAGCTAACTGCTCTACTGAAATCCATATTACAGAAGAACAGAGAACTCGGATGGAAGCTAACAAGGCGAAGGCACTGGAGAGGGCTGCAGCTGCCTCAAGTATTCGAATCACAGAAGAGCAGCGTTCTCGCATGGAAGCTAATAGGCTAAAAGCACTCGAAAGAGCTGCAGCCAGAGCTCGTTCTTTGCATTCAGCTTGACTGTTAACTGTCAACTATAACTGTTTTGGTTATTTTCTTACCCCGTTTTTTATTGTGAATTGCCGTGACTGAAAATCCCATATGCAGACAATTGTGGTATCTTAGGTTGTCAGTTTAAGAATTTGTGCATTGTAGTAAAAATGGCTTCTTTCTTCTAAATACTACCGTAGGTTACGGTGAACTAAAATTTTGATTTTTTTTTTCGTGTTTAGCCAGATTTTGCCACCTCTTTAACCCAAGCTTTGGTTTTCAATTTGCTATAATCTCCAGGTTTCATGAGTTTAATTCAATAGCTATGGTTGTAAGATGTAAGAAACTACAAAAATGAAACAACAACAACAACAACAACAAAACCCAATTCCCATATGCAATGGGGTAAGGGGGAGGTAGGGTAGTAGGCTGCCCCCAACGCCAGGTTGAGAGTAGCTTCCGTGGAAGACCTCCGGCAGTCAGAAAATTAAAAATATAGATAAGATGCAATGCATGTATAAATAAATACAAAAATGAAAACTACTAATAAATGAGGCCCAGATGAAATTGACCTGATCAGTAATTCTAATTGGTCTAATATTGAAGCAGGAAGATTTAAATCAAGCACTGATTAATCAAGCAACAAATAAGGATCTACCCCAAGGTATAGCAAATTATAAAATTATACACTTGAAGCTTCAATGCAGCTGAATCTTTTAAGAGAGTACAGGTATCTGAGTTCATTCAATCTGGTGATTGGATTTCAAATCTTGCAGGAGAAAATTTTGGGTTCCAAAAATGGAGTCCGCAAATTTTCCATTGTGGCACCCAAATGTGTGATGAGCGTTTGTGTACACCTACCAGCTTCTTATGGATCTATCAGTAGAAAATTGTAATTTACATGGATCAGATATATCCAACCTCAATCTCAACTATCGCTCACATCATCTTGACTCCGGCTTGAGACTAATCCTGCTTGATGTGCTAAAAATCATCGACTGGATATAGGAGAAAAAGAAAACAAGGTAACACAAGTGTAGCCATGTATCATAAAATACAGATTTTTAATTTCTTAGTGATTGAGTATATCATTTAATAATCATTGATTATGAGGAACCAAATGGAGGGTTGAACTCAAGATTTAAAATTTAACCCCACCCCCTACCTACACACCTTTGTTCAAATGTAAGATGAACAATGAAATTCTATAATACAGTCAAACATCCACTTTATCGGATCAAATTACAAACTAAGATGACTAGATGCCAGTTTGTAAATCATCAACAAAGAGACAAAACCATGAAGACGCTACTGGAATGATTAGGAATGACAGGAAGGATGCTTTGCCAACTGACATGCTAGCCAAAAATTAGACGATACTGCAGTTGCAGATGTAGCAATTGAGATAACATGCAATACTATATGTGGATTTGATTTGACCAGCTATAAACAGTTCTGTATGAAGAATTTATAGAACAGAGTACGTATACGAAAATGAGGTTTGCAGAAGTTGCAGTAACATAATATAAAAACAGGAAAAGGATTAACCCGATACCCGTGAAATAGCACAAGGTCACAATGGTAGTCATGCTCAGAAATGAAGTTTGAATGCCAGAAAACAGGATAATGCACAATTGAAAGCAAGACACAATAAAACACTAAACAAAATTGATATTTTATATGAAGGGATACACTGCTTGACACTAGGGTAACACACTCATAATCATGCCAAGAAGTTCGGTGAATAGGCAATTGAAAGTGAATTCTTGTGAAGAGAGAAGATACCTGCAACAGAAAGAACAAAGGGAGAAAAGCGAAGAAGATGGAAAATCCTCACTAGAATGGGAGCAGGGGAGTTTATATGTTCATCATTTTGGAAGGTACAGGATGTTCTATATGCAGTACAATTGTATATAGAAGTACAGGTCAACCTAGAAAGGTTACACTCTCAACCAGCATAAATAGGCTTTGAATGAAAACTTAATTAGATTAAGCTAATTGCAGATCCCATAAAGTGTACTGTTTTAGCTTGCAGTTGGTTTTATACAACCCCATCATTTTGGCCATCCACTCCCGCACAAGCAAACTATAAAAAATTAAATGTAACCTACCTGAGTTGCAGCAGGCAAGATGCAATTTGCTAAATCTTCATTAACAGATATAGGCAATGGTGGCATCCGGCTCATTAAACCCGGCATACATCTCATACTGCAAAAAAGTCATTGTAGAAATTAAAAACCTGAAGCTTAGGCAACAATGAACCCAAAACAAAACAAAAATGATTGCCACAGGGCATCAATCACCAATTAATAATTATAAAGATCCACGTACTCATTTAGAATGGTGGTAATACTGTTCCTCGTGTTATAAAAGAGATTAATATTATCCTGCAACTGTTCATACAAACTGTAATTAATAAGCCAGCCTCAGAAGACTGTCAAAAAGAGCCCATATATGATATGATGTGATAACATACAAGATTTGCACAAGCACATAAAAAGAACAAGAATAAATTGAACTGTCTAATATGTAAGACAGCTTTAAAAGGGATCTATCCTGATTCTTGAACAAGAACCATGACTTTTTTATTATCTGTAAACTCATTCATCATTTAATGGAATAGTTGTCACCTTACTTAACCTCTTCAAAGAACTGACATTCTTATCTGTGTAAATTCTTCCATTCATCATTTAATGGAATAGTTGTCAATTTATCTAACCTCTTGAACAAGAATAATGACATTTTTATATGTAAATTCTGTACATTTATTATTTAAACGAATAGTTGTCACCTTATTTAACCTCTTGAACTTGCCACAAAAAACTGACATAACCAGCAGACACCATTGAAATATATGACAAACAAGAAGACAGGGTATTCAACTCATCTAACACTTATAATTTACTGTATGCTTTCATACTTTCCAAAGACAGATTGCTGTAAACTAGGGCATGATATGCTCACCTTATATGCAGAAAGGTTTGATGTGATTTGACTAAAAGCTTGGGAATTTTGCTTCAAAAGTTTCACAGTCATACCAGTTATTCCTGAAAATTCACAACAAACACTTAGCTATGCTGTTAAATTCAAGCTTGTCCTCCAGAAAAATTGTTTTACCTTGTCTTGTGAAATATATTGTGTTTGAAGTCACTCTTCAAACAAGTTCTAAATACACTGGTGACTGCTCTGCTTACCATACTCATTTTATAATAATATAGTTAATATCCCATATGGAAAATAAATAATGAATACAAATGTTGACACTTCACATACTGTGCTACAATTTGATTATATACTTCCAGCCAAAATCTTTTCTATCTAGATTGCTTTCATCAAATTATATTGCTCGTCAAGTTTTCCATTTCCTCAACTTGGCTAGCTTTAAATACCAAATAATCAACCTCATTGACACCTAGTCCCATGTTCATGGAGACAAGAATTGAAACTTTTTCCCAGGTAAAACTTATCAGCACCATATGCTTGTAACAATTCCAAATTTTGCAAGCTTCTTCAGAAGATTACAAATCAATCTCAGAATTAAGCACCAATTTGATAGCTAATGTCCATCTAATTCATCAGTAACTGTAAGCCACTTAATATTAAAACTCAAAACCTCAAAAGCATAATTTCTTCAACCTAAATCCATTGTAAACAACATCTTGGAAGATTACCCCTAAAGTTTGTATAATCAAAAGCATTTACCACCAAAAGAAAGATATCAATGCTTCTAGATGGTAATATAAAATACAAACCTTCAGCGGACATTCTTCCATTCTGATCCGGATGGTGCATCATGAGAGGATATGCAGCCATGTTCTGTGGCAGTGCTGAAGGCATATTCACCGTTGAGGATGATTCCACTTGCTTACCCTGAAGAAGTATGGGGTTTAGAATATAGGTTTTCAATCATGTTACATCCTAAAGGTATTATCATGGAACCAAAACAGGAATTCCAGTTATGGCATTCATCTTAGCTATTTGAGGCACAGAGAATTTACTTGAGTTGATTTTTGGTCATAATTAGCAGTTTTGTTTGTAATTTGACTTGAAGGAAAGAAAGGAATTGAGAGAAACTGTAGTTCTTTCCAACAAAAACAGATAAAGCTTCACAGTCAGAGGTGTGAGAGAAGTTCTCAATGAAATACTGAGCAAGATTGAATAGATATGGGTTTCTCAGAATGTAGCTTCACAAACTAGGAGTGCATCACTGAGCTTAAGACAATATTCTTAGGGCCCAGTGAGCACAGTACATACAGAACAGTCTTTGAACAAGAGATTGTTATAGTTGATACTGATGATAAAAAAGCATTTTATACAAAGTAACTAAGGAATCCCATGGAGCCTACAGTTCTATGAGCTTCTTCTCAAGAAACTTAACTAACATTTTTAAAACCATTTAGGGAGAAAAAGAAGAAAGAAATCAATCTTAAGTATTGTACAAATTTACATAATTTATCAGCGTACCTTCCTGTTGTTCACATTCTTTCCTGCATTAAATTCTTCAGGTTTCCTTCGCTTTCTCTGCCAATTTCCAAAAATAGCTTCATCTCTTAAGGCAGATGAATTTACAAAAATAAAATGTACAACTATAGCTTTATCTCTTGACAGATTGGTTAGATTCTACTAGCTGCAGTCAATGCCGAAACAAATAATTGAACATTGCCCCAGCATACCAACACTAATACTTTTGCATGCCACTTTTTCATATTAGACCACATGAAATAAGATTAAAAATAGAACAAACAATGAAAGAAATGCATCATTAAGTAAAGGAGCTTACTTGCATCCACCTAAACCTCAATGCAACATCACGTACAGTTTTATCAGGCAAGGTAGCAGCAATCTTTATGTACTTGATAATATTTGGTTCGTCTTTAGACCTATATACATGTACATTAAAACAAAAATCAGCACTAAATCTCATTTCCAAAAGAAGACATACCTGATAAGTAGCTCCTTAAAAACAGGTTCTACCATAAAAAGCATAAGCAAAAACACACAGCAATCCTAGTAAAATCATTAGGGTATCTACTACTTAATATTAACCATGAAAATATGGACTAATTTACTTATATTAGTAGCACAATTTTATGACGCTTGCATACGTCTACAAAAGGATTCGAATAAAATATAAAAAGAGCTAATTAGGACATACCTTTCAAGGCTGTCTTCCAGTATATATTGTTCGTCAACAGACCATTCGGCAGCAAACCCTGCATCTTGTTTCTGCCCTGAAACTGGATCAACAAGTAGGGAAGATCCAGGTTGGACTAATGAAGGGGAACTTGTAATCACACTGGAATTCCCGGGCAATAACATGGCCGGCGGTGCAAAGTATCCACTCATCGGAATAATCTCCGAGCTACTGTCAATAGAAGCTGGCTGGAAAGATACAGCCTGACGATTCACTATAGGACCTAAACTATCTTCATGATTAAACCCACTGTCCGCTTCTGTTTTAATTTTTCCTCTTTCTTTTCCTCACACGATTTCACTCAAAATTCCACTACACCTCATAATCTCATCATGGTTCATTTTTAGCTCGGAAGAAAAAAATCCAAAAAGAGAAACGAAAATAGCATATCAATCTCGAAAATTCAACCAAAACCGAATCCTAAAAACAAAAACAAAAAAATCACATCAATAAGCAGTGGTCTAGAAACGACAGCAGCAAACAAAAACAAAAGTGAAGACGGAAGATTACCTTTTCGAGAGCAACTTTCTTACGAAGCCGGCAAGTCCTAATTGGTTTTGCTTTCTTTTTTTTCGTTCACAGTATGCCAGGCTACTGCAATTAGCCAATTAATGCTGTTTTCTGCTACTTTCTTTGTTTTTTCTGGGTGTGGGGTTCTTTGGTTTTGCTTAACATCGCCATTTTCTTCTGGAGAGAACAAAGGATTAGCTTACACCTCCATGGCTCCACCCAATGGAAAGCAAAACTTTGCAAAGCAAAGCAATGAAAGGGAATTCAAAGCAAAACAAAAAGAAGTTCGGGGATTTTTTTTTTGATAAAGTGAACTTAATTTTTGGATAAACTATAAATTTAATACTTAAACTATCAGTTTTAATCTGTTTCAGTATCTACATTTCTAATTTTTTAAAAGCATACCTAACATTTAATTTTTATTTCATTTTAGTACCCACTATTAAAATCTTAACTCGTTTAGTACCTAAATTATCAATTTTAGTTTTTTTAATACCTAAAATTTCTTCTTTTTTTACAAAACTTAACATTAAATTTCGAACATAATACTAAAATAAAACAATAACTAAATTTTTTACAGACTAAAATGAAACAAAAACTAAACTTTAGATATAATTTTAAAAAAAATAAAAGTTTAGGTATTAAAACGGATCAAAACTGATATTTAGGTACTAACCACGTAATTTACCCTTAATTTTTATATGTAATGTAATTCATATTTGCTGAAACTGGAATTGCGCACAGTGCGAATCCCTGTAAGCATTTAATGCCAATTATTGTGGACTCTCCACCTTTCTTTTTTTATTATATTTCTATTTTAATTTGATTTAAAAAAAGTCGAGTTTCAAAATTAATATTTTATTTTATTTTTATTTAGAAATTTGATCTTTTAACTTTTATTTAATTTTATTGTATTTTTTATCTGATTGTGGTGAAAAAAATAAATAAATAATATTTTAATTTACATAATTTAAGTATTCTAACCTTTAATATTTAAAGATAAATAAAACTTAACTGAACAATAAAATTTTTCAATAGCTTAGATTTATAAACTTTTAAAGATAGAATTGATAAAAAAAATTATAAGCAAAAAAGATTATATTATTTATAATGGTCAAAATAACAATTAACTATTAGATTGAATAAAAATTGAAAAAATACTAAATTTTGTAAATAAAAAATAAATAAATAATAATTATAAAGCTAAACTATAAATTTTAAAATAATAAATAGCTTTAGAAAATTTAAACCTTTTAATATTTGTGAATAGTCTTATTTTACTTTGGAAAAAAGCAGGCATCCTCAAGTTGCATGGAACGCCTGGTTTATATTGCAATAACAAAAAGGTATACTATTGAAATAGTACATTTTCAACTTTTTTTTAACAATAAAAATTAGGTCGACCTTTTTTCTTTAAAATAAAAAAATATTATATTAATTAGGTTTAATACAAAAATAAATGTGTAAATTATACACAAAATTAACTTTTATTATCTAAAGTTTTTTTTGTTAAAAACAAGTGTCAAATGTCAATATTCATCTAACACCCAGTGTATATATACAATCTTAACCATTTTCAATCTCAACAAATCAATGTATATTAAATGAGAAAAGATATAAACATCAATTTTAGTTCCTTTGAGATGTAACAGTGACAACAAGTAATCTCAAAATTTATAACTAGGGACGACCATGAGATCTAAATCCGACAGATTTTGACCCGATTGATTTGATCAGGTCAATTTTTTTTTAAAAATGGGTTTGAATCTGCTAAGATTTTTAAAGAAAATATGTTCAGATTGGGTTCGGGTTTAGGATGAAAAATACCGACCGACACAAAAAATAATGTAAATTTACCTTATATATTTAAGAATAATTACAATAATAACCCTCTATCTATTTTTTCAATTAGATCCTTAATTTTATTGAATAAAAATTTTTTATAAATATATTTATTTCGGGTCGGATCGGATCGAGTTTTATCTCAAAAAATCGAGTCGAGTTTGGGTTGAGTTAAGTCACCCATAAACTCGGATTAGGTCGGATTTCAGGCGAAGGGTTTATATTTAGGGGTGAGCATGGTACGGGTTAAGTCAGATTTCTAACTCGAACCATGCCTATCTCTATTTATAACCCATAAATAAATATTTCTTTAACTCGTGGTAAAATAATATTTTTTTTTAGGGTTAAGGTTTAGAGTTAGAGTTTGTGTTTGTGTTTGAAGTTTGAGATTTAGGGTCTATCGGTTAGTGTTTAGAGTTTTGAGGCTTGGAATAAGAAGGATTATTTTACCATGAGTTAAAGAAATATTTATTCATAAGTTACAAATTTGATTAATAAAATTTGAGCCATTTATTTATTTATTTAAATTTAAGCCATATATATGTGTGTGTGTATAGTTATCTAATTCACAGCTAAAAAATGTACAGGCATGGAGCAACGGTGTTTATAAAGGCGTGGAGCATAGGGTGGTGAGCAATGCCACGATGGAGAGATATACCATGGCCTATTTCCTGTGCCCCTCGTATGATTCTTCCATCGGGAGCGTCGAACAACCTTCCATCTACAGCAGATTTGCTTTCGGGGAATATAGAGACCAAGTTCAAGATGATGTAAGAAAAATCGGCTACAAGGTTGGCCTCCCAAGGTTTCGCACACTGCACCAATGATTGACATTTAATCCAATTATCTGTAAAAAAAATCAATTACATAACTTTTTAATCCAACAACTACCAATAAAAATTATGTTTTTGAAAATGATAAGAAAGTTAACATCTCTTTCGAATCTTTACAACTGAAACAAGATTTAGCAACATGAATGGCCATATCTGACACATTTGGTACCTGAAAAAGGTTTGTTCTAAAAGGAAAAATTATACACAATCACTCAAGTACATCAGCTAAATGAAAGAAGAAGAAAAAGACTCAGAATACCAAGTTTTATAAGTTACAGAACAAGAAGATCGGAATTTGCCTTGAATTTCATGTTCAATTCACCCATATGATGATTATTAACAGACCCTTAGTTCTTATTAATCGAGTAGCATGGCTACCTTGTCCCTGAGAGTGCACCTCTTCTTTGTCAACGGGATTGTTTCTTCTTCAAAGTCATTCCGACTTCCCTTTCCCAATTCATCGGAAAATGTCGGATCCCTCGTTATGAATTCACTCATCTTCTCCTCCACATTCTTCTTTAATAAAGGACCTAAAAACAGATCGAGCATGTCCTGAGTAGGATCTCCTGTTCTGTTGGCATTGATAAAATGTTTGCCATTTTAGGACTTCGAGTTGAATCAAAAGTTTCATCAGCTGATGATTTCTGGTTACCATCAATAGTAATAAGGCAACTTCCCGACTCGGCTTTGGGAGAGACTGCAGTCGATAATTGACTTGCAAAATCACATTCCATAGTTGATAACTCTAGCAGCCCTGCATTCTTATCAGCTTCGACATACTGTACGTAAATAATATGAAACTGAGATCTTTATTACAGGTTAAAGTTTAAAGACAAGAAGAAATCCTGAAAGTTTCCAACAAGCTGATTACCTCTTCAGCAATGCTCACCAGATCTTCCGGAGTCAGTTCCTCGTCATCGTCAAATGGAGATGGATTTTTACTGTCCCTGCCCCTTCTAGGCCTCCCGCTTGTTGCTTTCCTTTTTCGCCGATGAGAAGGTTCCCGAACTTGTTTTTCCTGAAGACAAATACTCATTTTTGCAGCAGAAGCAGCTCCATTATCAGATGGTGCATCTTGTTGACTAACTCCCCTTTTCCTCCTCTTTGTTTCACAATTTTCCACAGGAAGGGCAGCTTTCTTAGACTGTTTGCTAGAGACAAGTTCATCTTCAACCTCTTGGATTTCATCACGATTATCTCGGTCGCTGCCAGGTGCACTCGCTATAGGTTGCATCCAAGGCGGCAATCGCCGGCGAACTCCCTCAACACCAGCAACTCCAACCATTTACTCTTCTTCCTTATTACTTGCTATAAATCGTTTCTAAAACCCCCAAATCCCTAATAAGCTCATTTGCTGCAAAGAAGGGAGAAACTTAAAACCAACAAAAAAAAAACACAATAAATGGAACAAAATTTAGGAACAGTTTCCTGAGTCTGACAGACTGATTCTTTTAACAACTGAAATCATGAAAAAGTAAGTCAATGAAAATTAATAGAATTAGACACCAATTAAAACAGACCCAAAATTCAAATTAGTACGAGGATTCAATTCCTTCATTTTCTTGTTTCAAATGTTCTTCCTACACTTGGGGGAGGGAAACTGAATAAATTCAAAACGTTGATCAGGAATCAAACCATAGCTAGAATATAAGAAGGATTATATATAACGAAACTGAACGAAATCATGATTTAAAAAAAACCGATTAAGGGTTTTTTACGTACCTTAGGCTCTCCATCGACAACATCCAAAAGTAAAATCGACAGCTCCGGTCACTCGTTTAGAATTCGGCGCAAATGGGGTAATATTTTTCTTATAAAAACCAGGAAACGAGCGTTTCCGTTTCCCTTCTTTTTCTTTCTTGTTAGGGAAGATTCATTTGAATAAGCCATTTATTTATTAGGTTAAATTACACGAGTGACCATTAAACTATAGTAAAAAATCAATTTAATAACCAATGTTTTGTTTTAATCAAACAGATCACTCAAATATTTAAATCTTTCATTCAAGTCACTCTCAGTTAATTTGTAACGATGTTGATGACGTGTCAATTAATATAATTGGTATAATTTATATTTGGATCTCAATACTTACTCATTTTATCAATTTAGTCCTATTTTTATTTTAATTTAAAAAATTAACCTTTAAACCCGGAGGTGTCACTTGCCAATGTATTATTGTGACACACTTTCAAGTGACATGTGTCATCACTTGATTTAAAAATTATTTTTAATTAATTTCAATATTTTAATTAGATAAATTTATATATCAATTAGGTGATGACATGTGTTACCGTTAGATAAAATATTTGAAATATATAATTTTCCATACATTTTCACGAGGCAAAAACCAAAACCAGGTGCTTTCCCAAAGCTAAAATCATTAAAAAAATTGAAATATAATTTTCTATAAGAAATTTAATCGCCAAATTATTATGTTTTAGCTGAACATATATTTATCAAAGAAAACTTTACATGCAAACTTATCTTCCCTTTCTCCATCTGTAACCTTGCACCCGTTACCAGCCAATACCCTGGACTATCTTGAGGCCCTCTACATAACTGCGACGTCTCTACGCGCTTCAACAGCTTCGGTGTTTGGACCGGTACCGGCGGCCCGGTTGGGTACACGGCGGAATCCACCACAACCGCGACCTCCTCCTTTTCTTTCAAGGCGTTTCCCGTTAAGGATTGGCTTATCGCTGAAAGTAAACCAGACTTCTGCGAGAGCCCTGATTCGGCTTGCGCCCAACTAGACTGCACTATAAAAGAATCCGACACCTTTGAAAACACCAGCCGAAGGTGTAGGACACTCTTGGAATCGTGTTTCTTTACGTGCAACTGAGCGCCGGTGACGATGAAAACGACGTCTTTGACGGCGGCGGCGGCGGCCCATTTGGGGTTGTATTTGACGGGGGCGGTGCAAACATGGGAGAAGTTTTTCCGATGAATGGCTTCGAAGAATCGAACAGTATCGGCTCTATCTTCCGATGCATTCCAGTATCGGACGTCGTCCATCTTGTTTTCAAATGTTTTTGGTAGATTGGATAGATATTGAAGGTGAATTGCCAGCCTGACCAGTAACAAAATAATCAGAATTTTACTGCTCAAGAAACAAAGGCACAATGACAATAAAAAGCGTTAGTTTAGAGATACCTATTGCATTTCATGCCCTCAAGATACAAGCGCATCCCAGTGACTGGCCTCATCCCTACTATGACCTGATAATAACACCCATTCAGTTATAAGATTATCAATTTTTGATTCAATCGATTTCACCGTTCGATATAATTTAGTTTCGCATTATATGAAACATGAAAATGAAAATGTCAATAAATGGGACTAGAATGTACCTGAGAAGTGTTGACATAAAGCTAGGACCCATTAAGTTGAAATGAAGGCTTGGGAAGAAGAAGCCCTTTTAGGGGAAGGACCCAATGGAAGGTCGTTGTGAATGGGAGCCCAAATCTTGTGTGATTGGAAGTCAAGAAAGTACTGTAGATCACCTATAGGTGGCTTGTCTGCATGAAATTGGAAATCTTATTTTCAAATCTTTTTCCTTCTTTCTTTCGAGTATTTAAAGTATATTGAACTCCTTAAATGATCTCAATGGTTAAATAAGTGGTCTTAATGGTTAAAGAGAACATTGTTCTTCCTAAAGATTCTGAGTTCAAATAATTGTGTCTGTGGGTGCTTGCACGTTAATAATAGTTAAGAAAGATTTTGAACAAATATTATTTTATAATCATCTTAAACTATTTGAAGTATATTGGACTTACATCGAAGGTATAAGTTGATGGCATGCGACAAGAAACCCTTGCCTGGTACAGCTTTAAGCAGAGAAGTAATGGGAATGAAGTTAAAGTGGATGGCATCGGCCCTTCCGGTAACTGTTGGAAGCCACTCACAATGGCTGTTAGCTTCTGTGTCACCTCCCCTTTTTGAACATATAACAGTTATTCCCTGCAAATACACTTTGCTTATATTTTAGTATATTCTAGCTTTATAATTATAAACCACCTAGTATTTACATCTATACATATGTGTGAAAAAATTAGATCCACCCAAATCGATCTAATCAGATATTTAAAGGTATGATGTCAAACTTAACCCCTATCATTTATCAAAATATCCATTTTAACTCTTATTTTTTTTATAGAATTTTATCCTTAACGTTTCATTTTAGGGTAAAAAACTTCTAACATTTGATTAAACAATCACTTTGACCCTTATTTTTTTGAAGTATTTTAGCCCTCAACATTCATTTTAAGGTAAAAAAAACCCTTATTTTGGAGTGACAATCATTTGTTAATTAACGATTTTCATCTATAAAAGGGGTCTTTTTACCATAAAATGAAATGTTGGGAGCCAACATACTCCAAAAAATAATAATAATAATAAGAGCCACATTAACTATTTAGTCAAATATTAGGAAACTTTTTTAACATTATGCCATATTTAAATACATAAATAGATATATTCATAAATCGAATCTAAACGTTATGGCAATTCAATTATCAAACATATTCCGTTAAATTATCATATAAAAGGAAAACAGAAGTTTAAGTAGGGATGGCAACTCAACCCGAATCCGACGGGTTCCGACCCGACCCGATCCGATCGGGTCGGATTTTTTTTTAAAAAATTTCGGGTTCGGGTCGGGTCGGGTTTTTTTTAATGTACTGTTCGGGTCGGATCGGGTCGGGTTTAGGGTGAAAAAAATCCGACCCGACCCGACCCAAAAATATATAATTTATCCTATATATTAGGAATAATTACAATATGTCCCTCCATATATAATTTTTTTTCAATAAGTCACTGTTTCATTGAATAAAATTTTTTTTATATTATTTCGGTCGGGTCGGGTCGGATTTCTAAGTCATATAGGGTCGGGTCGGGTGAAACCTTAATTTCGTCGGGTCGGGTCGGGTCACGGGTGAAAAACCCTTTCTTCTCGGGTCGGGTCGGGTGGCCCAAAAACCCGACCCGACCCATTGCCATCCCTAAGTTTAAGTATGGTATAACCTACATCTTTGGCATTGATGGAGGGGTAGCTATTGAAAGCAAGGGGTAGTTGATCAAAGATATTGAAAGCCTGTGGTACCTGTACACCATAAATAAATAAAATGGTATGAATCTCTAGAGATATAAAAAATAATAATACTTAAAATTAAAAAAAAAAAATATCAGAAGAACCTTGAGCTTTTGGTCTTTGGCATTGGGTTTAAAGGAGCAAGTGCCGGTAAATAACTGGTCACCTAGATCATCCAGATGTTTCTTGAGCTGTGAAGGTTGCAGATGGGAAGATTTGTGTTGCCTAACCAAAACTACATCTTGGCCACCAATGCTTAGCCCCACTATGACGTGAGTCCCGTATTTCTCGATGAATCTGCTGTTGCATTCACATCAATCATGCACGCAGATAAAGTTTTTGTCAACCGCTTTCTACTCTATATCTAAATTTTAATATATATATTAAATTAGTGTCATTATAAAATCATCAAATAACTTTAATAGTAAAAAGTTTTATTTTCTTATAATAGTTTCAAGTCTGAATGGTTATGTCTAAAAGAAGTGTATATATTATTAATAATTAACGAAAATTTTAAACATATACTATTTTATATTTTATCTTAGACTAATAAAAAAGAGTAAATTATAAATTTAATATCTAAACTATCAGTTTTAGTATATTTTACTACTTAAACTTTTAAAATTTTCAAAACCATAAATAACATTTAATTTTTGTTTTAGTACCTAAACTATTAATTTTGGTATGTTTTAATACTTAAACTTTTACTTTTTTTAAAAAAAAAATTAACTTTAAATTTTGAACAAGATACTAAAATGAAACAAACTAAACTTTAGGTATAATTATGAAAAAATTGAAAATTAAAATATTAAAATAAATTCAAACTAATAGTTTAAATACTAAACGTTGTCATTTACCTAAAAAAATTAGTGCCACTGTAATTCCTTCACAGTTCAGGCTTAGGAATGGACATGAGTCGGGTTTCGGCCAACCCAACCTGATCCAAAAAATATATATCCCGAACTCGACCCGAGTTTTTGAGATAAAATTTGAATCTGATCCGACCCAAAATGAAAAATATTATTTTATTCAATAAAAACAGTGATTTAATTGAAAATAAATATAGAGGGATATTATTGTAATTATTTCTAAATATATAATGTAAAATTATATTTTTTCGGATTAGATCAAATCGCTATTTATTAACCTAAACCCGAATTCGACCTAGACCTAACCCGAACCCAAATTTTTTATTTAAAAAAATCTAACTCAATCAAATCAAGTCGAGTTAAACTATGAGATTTGAGTCTTATACCCATCCCTATTCAAGCTCCATGTCAACAGCGAAATTAGTGCGACTATAAACTTCAATGTGTGTATATATATAAGGCAAAGACAACCGACACGTCATTATTTAGACCGAGTCGTTAAGAAAGTAAGAGAAGTTGTGACTTTCAAAAATTGATATAAAAACATTTTTAGGTTTTTAAATTTTAAATATTAATTGAATAAATTTTTTATTCTCTTAATTTTTAAATTTAAATACTTAATAACTATTTTCAATATAAAACAATTTTCAGTGTTTGATCCTAACTCTCTCTTTATATCATTAAGTGTTTTATTCATGCAGAATAGGAGAAAATTTTAGAAAAGAGAGTTAACTTTATAAAATAATTATAAAAATATTAATTTAATTTTTAATTTACGACCACTTAACAACAAATTTTGACAATTTCATATTTAAATTTGTAATTAATTAATTAAAATGTTGACAATCTGTCAAATCAATAAACGAACTTCTATTTCTACGG